GATTGGGGAAGTTCTCTTTTATTATTTGTTCAAATAAGTTTTCCACTTGTGGCTGTTCCTCTTTCCCTTCTGGTACCCCTATAATTCGGATGTTGGAATGTTTAAAGTTGTCCTGGAGGTTCCTAAGCCTCTCCTCATTTTTCTGAATTCTTGTTTCTTCATATTTTTCTGTTTGGTCATTTTTTCCTTCCTTCTGGTCTGCTCCCTTAATTTGAGTCCCAGTTTCCTTTTCATCACTGTTGGCTTCCTGTGCATTTCCATTCATTTCAATTAGTTTAGCCTTCATATGTTCCTCTAATGTGTGACTAAAATCAACCAGTTCTGTGAGCATCCTGATCACCAGTGTTTTGAACTGTGCATCTGAAAGTTTGGCTATTTCTCCATCACTTAGATTTATCGGCTCTGGGGCTCTGAGTTGTTCTTGAGCCATGTTTTGATCTGTCTGCACCTGTTATGTATGAGGAGAGGCGCCTTAGGTGTTCACCAGGGCGGGGCCACCCAGGTTGTTGGTTTGTGATGCTATATTTGGGGACGGGGTCAGAGAGGGAGCAATGGCAGTCCTCTCCACTCACCTCGTCCACCTCACTGCTTGCCCCCGCCTGCTTATCCGAGTGCAAATGTGCTAGCCGCCACCCTGCGCTGGCCGTGGGGGCCTGGGAGATCTGTGTCAACGCTCGCCTCTTCACTGGTTTATTTGCATGCAAGTGCGCAACCAACCGCAGACAGCCAGCCTCTCCTCTTCCCTGGGTTCTGCCCGTAGCTAGCCCGAGCCTGGCATCCGCACCTTTGGCTGCCTGTGTACCGCCCGGGTCAGGGGATCTTTTCGCTCGACCAGCTCCGCTGCTGGTTTCGCTCCTCTCACCAGTTTAGCTGAGCAGTTTGTTGTTTTCAGACTCCGTATTCGATCTTCTGTGTGGTTTGGTTGCGTTTATTATTGTTAAAACTTTGTTGTTTTTAGATTTGGTTGTGCGAGGACGCAAAGTGTTCCCACCTACGCCTCCATCTTGTTGGAAGTCCTAGGGCAACTTTCAATAATACCGAAGAGCATTCAACCCTGGGAAAGATGTATTTCTGAGGCTTGGTATTCGAAGAAGTTCCTGTCATACTTCCTAAGTGTTCTCTATAAAGCAGTTTTTAAGTTTCATCAGTGTAACACATGCCACAGAGCAAAATGATTCTCATTGAGTATCTGGACCTCGCATACTATAAGAAGTAAAGAAACTTTAACTATTAATTTGCTCCCTTAATAGTCCCGATGAAGCATCATTATACCTTCGACTACAACAATCATCACTACCATCACTACCACTACCATCCTTTTAGCATAGTACCTGATACCCGAGTGGCTGAAATACATGCTGAATAAATGATTCTTGGAAATTCCTGAAGTACAAGTAGCAACTTCTCTACTGCAGAGTGACTGTGGGTTAGTTTTAAGTACAAAAGGAAAAAATAAGTTCTAAGCATATCAAATGATTTTGTTGTTCTGTATATAAAAAACAGAGACCACCAGAGAGTGTGACATTGATATGATCAGAGGCAAATACGGGCTCTTCGGTTTTGAGAATAGTTCTCTTTCTCAACTAAAATGCATTATGTTAAAGTATTTTAACAAGTCACCAATGTTCTAGTGACTTTAGACCACTTAAATACCTCAGTCAGAAAGATTTAATGAAATCACGTGTTCTAGACTAATTAGTGGGAGAGTGGAAAGGCTGTTAAGTCACATAAACCTCCACTTTCCTGGCTGTGAAATTTTTTTTAGTCCATTACTGAGACTATTTTCTACTCAATAAAGTAAGGATAATAAGACATGCCTCAGGGGGTTGCTGGAATGCTTAAATGTGGGGTGAAGTGTAAAAACAATAAGTAATCAATTTGGTAGGCTTAAAAAATATTGTCATTTGTAGTGGATATATTTCAGACCTCATTTTGCTTGATGTTGTAGCAGCTTTCCAATGTACTCCTTCCTTCGAAGGTTTAGTGACAGTATACTTGAGTTTGTCTTCTACATCTTTTTTAGTTCATACATCTCTTAATCTTCAAAAAAACGGTTGGAATTCCTCAAGAATAGACCCCACTATGATAGGAGAATGCAAGAGTTAAAGATTTTAGCTTTAGTTATTACAGTCAACAGGCTTGAGTGATTAATGCATGTGGAAAGCTGTTGTTCCTGGAACTGGAACATGTGACCTACAGGACTCCAGGAGGTCCTCAAGCAAGATGCTTTCTGAGTCATTCTGTTCCAGGGAGGCCCAAAGTTAAAGAATTGATGAACAACAGATAAAGAAGTACTAGGAAAATCACCTCTGGACTGAAGCTCTTAACGAATTAACCTTTTTCCAAATCCCCTACCTACCCTTACTTCTCCTTATAAGGTCGGCTTGAAATGAGACCTTAAGATGGCTTTTGAGGATGGATAACTTGCTATCTTTTCAGATCACTAGCTATCTGATTAAAGTGCCCATAAAGATTCAATCCTTGTCTCTACTTACTGGTTCTGGTAGTTAGAGGCAACACGAATGCCAACTCTTCTGGTTTCAACTTTCCTGCAGCCCAGTACTAAATCAATGGCTTCAATTACTATCTATATTAGAACGGGTTAAGTTTTTAAGATGAGCCCAGGCATCAGCAGAGCTTCATACCAGTATATCTAACAACCTATAATATCTGCCCTTGCCTATCTCTTAAGTACTTGAAAATCAAAACCACAAAATTGATTATCTTCTCATTGCTGTCCCAAAATAAAAACTCATGTCTCTCCAATGATCCCTATCGCAGTGAAAGGCATCAACATAAGCCAGAAGCCAGGGAGTCACCCTTGACCTATTCTCCTCTTACCCATCCTTTATGCTTCCTTCATTCCCTCACATCCAATCTCATTCCTTAAACTCAACAGTTTCTCTGCTATATTTCCTCCTTTCTCCATTTTCACTGCTACCAGCAGAATCTGTTGCCTGGAAAATGGTTCAGTGGGTCTCCTCCTCTCAACCATCCCCAGGCTGCTGCCATAGCTCAGCTGGTTGGAGCATTGTCCTTATATGCCAAAGGTTTTGTTATAGGGTCAGGGTACAGATAAGAATCAACCAATGAATGCATGAATGGGGTGGAAGGGCAGGTCAATGTCTCTTACCACCCACCCCTTCCTCTCCCCTTCTAAAATTAATGGGGGGACTCCAGAATTAAAGATTTTAGCCTTAGTTGACAGGCTTATATAATTAATACACATGGAAAACTATTGTTCCAGTAGCTGGAATCCATGGCCATGACTCTAGGAGGTTGAGAAGCAATTCTACCTTTGTGCCCCAGGCAGGCAAGTGATGGGAGACGGTGTCTGAGCCATTGTGTTCCAGGGAGGGAACAGTTTCAGTGATGCGGCTAAAAAATTGCTGATCAACAGATACAAAAGTACTAGGAAAATCACCACTAGACTGCAACTCTTACCCGATTAACCCTTTTCCAAACTGATTAACCGTTTTCCAAACTGTTACCTACCCTTTCTTCTCCTTTTAAAAAGGTCAGCTTGAAATGAGATGTTAAGATGGTTTTCCAGGGTACATAACCCACTGCTTTCTCAGATCACTGGCCATCTGAATGAGGAGTCCATAAAGATTCAATCCTTTTCTGTACTTATTGGTTCTGGTACTGACAGGCAGTATGAGCACTGACTTTACTGGTTTCAAAATCAATAAAATTAAAAAAAATAAAGAAAATCTGACCCTGTCCTCCATAAAATGCTCCCATGTTTTTAACCCTGTGTACCTCACCAAACTCTACCTTCTGTCTTTGCCATTTTGCTTCAGTTTCATGAACTTGCTCCCTCAAGGCTTTAACACACAGTTCTGCTTGCAAGAATGCTTCCTCCCACTCAAATGTACCCAGTTTATTTCCAGTCACCCTTTAGACCTCTTTTCGTATTCTACTTCCTAAAAAAAAAAAAATCTCTGATCTGTGGAGAAAGGTTAGGTGTTTCCTATCATAGCATCCTGTACTTCTCTCCCATACTACTCACAACTTTAATTAACCAAACAATTGTATAAGTTATCTTGATACCGATCTCCTTTGCCAGTAAGTATACTCAAAACATGTAGAGAAGGGCTGTATACCCCAGTGCCGACTAGCACCTAATACAAAGGACCACAAAAAGCATTCCTTGAATGAATATGATATATGAATACAAAAACAATACTTTTCAGATTAAATTTAACATAATTTTTCACTTCTTTTCAGATTAATTTTCAGACTACTCCACAAAAACACATGATGATTAGTAAGAATTTCTTCACACTAAAACTCTACCACATTAAACTATATTAAAAGTCTCTCACATAAAATTTACTTACACAAGTTAATCTAGCAACAAGCCTGTGAGCTGATTATGGTAAATATACCTGTTTTAGAGATGAACTCGCACACATAATATAAAGAAGGCCATCCCTAGAACCCAATTCTTTAGGCAGTTTTTTCCCCTTCCACTAGGTATCTTACTGGCACAGCAATTGTTACCAAACGGATATTTTTCAAAAATAAAAGACAGCTCAAAAACGGATGTAATAGTAGTTAAATCTTCTACCTCACAAGTTCTACTTATGTGCATTTGTGCTTTAATAAATTTTAAAGTTTTAAAAAAGACACTGATCAAAACACATTACTCATCTTCAAAATTTCACCTTGTGATGTCCCAACCATTAATGAGGTTTTGCTTTACATTGCACTCCCCCCAATTCTTGTGTCCCCTCAATTTATAAATATACAAAAACATATCAGCTCTCATATTTTTTCCTAACAGCCTGCAAAGTAGATCTACTCCTTCACTTAACGGCTGAAGGCCACCACGCCGTAAAATCTTAGGTCATTTTCCCCCCTTTTTCTTAAACATCACCTTGCCTAAGGGTCAAACACTAGGGCCGTAGTTCCATGCATCCATTACAACTAGTCTGCACCACCTACTTTTCTGGGAAATGATCTTGCTAAAGAGGATGAGCAAAGTTTTCACTTACTCCACAAACGCTCTGGAGCAGAGGCAAAGGATCTTATTATCCTCCTCCAGATCTTCAATGAACAGAAACATTTCGGCCACGCGGCTCCACTTCTCGCAGCACATTTTTCCACCTCAGAGGAGGCAGCCCAGCGCTAAACAGACCGGGTTACTGGAGACCGAAAGGAAGCCTCACCAGCGTACCCTAGGGATGACGAATTAAGTACGAGCCCGGGGCCCTCTCAGGATAGGGCCAGCTGCGGAGATACCCAGCAAGCGAAGAAGCCACCACCGGAAGTGGCTCCGGAAGGCCACAGGAAGGGACCGGGTGGTGGGAGGTGTCACACTCAACTCCGCTCGGGCGGTAGACACTTTCTGGCTTTTTCTTCTCACCGTTGCGCGTGGGAAATCGGCCGCTCAAATTTCTGTACTTTCCTCGGCGGCTTAAGCCACAGAAGAACTGCTTCTACTGTTGGAGGGTGAGGGCGAGCCTCCACTCCCCTCCTTCGCCGAGGTGCGTCGGTCCCAGCCTTAGTCTCCCAGTGCTTCTCCCATCCCGGCGCCCGGGGCGCATCAGTTCCTTCGGTCGGCGAGCCGCCAAGGCCGCGCGTCTAGTCCCTCGGGCCGCCGGGAGTTCCCGGGTAGGGCGCGCGGGCGGGTTGTGCTTTCCGCCAGAGTTGGCCTTGGGCTCTGGCATGGAGTGGTGCAGGGAGGGGAGGTTCTGCTTGGGTCACAACGCAGCCATTCACCTCGCCCCGCATCTTAAACCCCCCCCAATTCGGCGTGTTTAATATTTAGTGGTGGGGCGAGGTGTCTCCAACGTCTTTTGAGGCCTCTGCGCTTGCCCAGTGATTTCTCTAATTCTGGGATCTGAATCGACCCTACTCTATATAAAAGCTAAATATAATTATGTGGTGTTCATGAGAATGTAGTTGAGAGCCGCATAGGTAATGGTTAAAACAGTGCTCGCTTTTAAAGAAATCAGGCTTGGGATCCTGGTTTACGCTCCTTTTACTAAATGTGTGACACGGGCAAGCAACTTAACCTTTTGAGCCTCATTGTGATCATCTGTAAAATAGGGCAGATTAATAGTACCTGCTTTTAAATAGAGACAGGCTTATAGTTAGAGAACAGGATGACAGCCCAGGAGGTGGGGAGGGTAAGGTGTTGAAGGATTGTGCAAAAACAAAAAAGGACTCATGGACATGGCAACAGGGTGGTGATTGCAGGGGGAAGCGGGGGAGGGCATGTAAGGGGACTAAATGGTAATGAAAAAAAATACAATTAAAAGTAATTTTTAAATAGTGCCTGCTTCCTAGAGCTACTGAAAGGACAATTAAATCATCAATGAAACACTAAATCAGATCTCTCATGTGCTATTAGTAATTTGAGTGGTACATACTTTGTACGGGGTGCTGGGCACTGTTTCAGTCCCTTGGGTTTACTGCTTGTAAAACAAAGTCTCTGTTCTCATGCTGCTGATTTATTTTTTAAAAAAAATGCGTGTGTGCATAATAAGGATGTCAAAAACTGGAACCCTGTTGCCAGGTTTGTAGAAAGCAGTCAGTGTTTGGTGTGGGGTGTTGGTTGACACTGCCCAGGCGGCTTCCTCAAGGAAGCAGGTCAGGACTTGAAGGTTGTTGGCGTCCTTAGGACTTGGTCTGTGCTATTAATGCTGAGATGGCATTGGTATTTCTTTAGAATGGTGATTTTTCAACCCGTGTGCCTCAAGAATTTTTAAAACATGCAGTTATTAAAAGCAGCTATTTCGTTGGGAGCACTGACCTCTTTTCCCTTAGATTATCAAATAAAAAATTACAACAACCAACAGAACAATAGCCGTCCGGTGTGAATGAATCAAAATTATACCTAATTTTTTGTCAGATCGACAAAAACTATAATATATATTTTTTAGTAATTAGCTTATGTGTGTCACGAGATGAAAAAGGTTGAAAATTTAGGCGTTAGAAACTGAGGTAAAATCCAGACATTAAGAACATCGCTGATATTTTGATTGCATTTAATCGTGAGTGGAAAGAGAAGACTAATTTTCACGTGAAATGTTTATTCCCATATCCTTACTGCTGCCTTACTTTCATGTCAGAGATATACTTATTATTTTAGTGACTTGGGGTAAGTCACAGATACAGATACATTAGCATAGATGTGCAACATTTTTGAGGTAAGGATAGATTTAAGAAAATAAGGGTAGAACAGTAATTATCAAACAGAGTAGAAGATCTTAGCTAGAAGTTGAAGATACTCTAGAATTAAAAAAAAACAACCACCACCTTGAAAGGTATTTCAAGTTTGAAGCTTGAACTCTAAAAGGTATTGTTTTAAAGATAAAATGATTGGGTGTGCTGGGAGTCTTAACTGAAATATTAGCTAAACTTCAGCTTTATTGATTATTTAAAGTAGAATGCTTAAGTACTAAAACTGAGCAGTGAACTGTTAAACCATTGTTAAATATGCAAAAAGGAAAAGGGAAAGTTAATTTGTATTTCAGTGAGTTTCTTTTCATTGGCATTTTTAGCATATCTTCAATGTAGCTCATATACTAAAAGTAAAAAATGAACCTGCTACCATCCATGGTGGTAAAAGTCTGGTAGTGTTTACAAATAAACATTTCCTTAAGTTTTTGTAGAAAACAAACAAAAACCTCTCTGTTTTGATTTATTAGTTTTTGAAATATTCTGGTTTTAAATATCTATAAAGTCAATTATAGTAAATGTTCCTCATCAGTATCAGCATTGGTCATTGGTGATATTTCAACTTGTTAACTTTTTCTTACAATTTACCTTAATTCCAGATGGGAAAATTAAGGTACTTTGTATGTGGTGCATAGGACTGTATTTTATTGTAGATTTTTTTTTCTGGTAGGAAACGATCTGGAATTTTTGCAACTAAAACATTATATCTCCCCCAAAACATCTTTTAACAATTATAGTTTTTATTGGATTAAAATAAAGTGGTAAAGAGTCATGTAAGCAGAAGTAGACAGACATTGCAGTCTAAATATTTTCAGCATCTCTCACGGGGAGGGGGAGAGAGAGAGAGAGAGAGAGAGATTAAAGAAAGTATAATGAAAACCGAAATGGGAAGTAGAAGAACTGGGTTTTAATTCTGGCTCTTGATCCTTCCCTGAGTTAATTTAGTAACTTTGGGCAAGTCAACTTGGCCATTTTCTCATATTATCAAAAGTAAAGTATTTTATGAACTCAGGAGCTTGTTATTTGAATTCCTCTGATAGCTCTGCAGTGGCAAGTTTTAGGACACTGTGTTGGTCCACATTTTTGTTAAAGATGTGGATAAATGTAGTTTAGATCTTTACATAGGTAGCAGGCATTTTGTAGGTGGTGCCAACTATGTGTGAGTCATACTGTTCTAAGTGATTTATTTCTCATATAAACTAAGTGATATGTTTTCTCATATAACCATCTATTTTGTTTACTGGTGAATGTCAGTGTTTAAAATAGTGTCAAGCACAAAATACTTCCTTGATAAGTCTTTGTTGAGTAAGTGCAGTAATAACCCAATTATGTAGTTCTTCTCTGGGCCATCCCCTTTCTTGTACATTGTATTCTGTCTTTGGCCTAGTCAAGCATTGGATACAACAATGATATTCTTTTGTGGATCATCTACTTTTTACTCTCTCATTGATGCATTATCATTGATATTAAAAACTGCTGCATTTTCTTTTTATCTTAAAACAACAAACTTGACCCACATTACCCTATAGATACCCACCTGTTTCTCTGCGTACCCTTTCTGCAACAGTATTCCTCTGAAGAGTCCATATTTGCTGTTTCCAATTCATTTACTTCCATTTTTCCTTGAATTTAATCCACCTAACTTTCATCGCCACGATATCAAAACAATTTTTATCAAGGCTTACCAATACTTCTTTGTTGTAAAAATCAATTATTCCTAGACTTTTCAGCATCATTTGAAACACCTGTATACTCCTTTCTTCTTGAAACTCTTTCTTACTTTGACATCCAGGGTGCTACTCCTGGAAGGAGGAATGCTGGTTCCTCATTGTCTTCCCAGCTTCTAAAATACTTGAGTGCCCCATTGCTCGGTTCTGGAAATTTTCCTTTATTTTACATCCCTATAGGGATGCCCAGTTTAATGCTTTTCAAAACTGTCTGCATGGTGCCAGTTCCTAGATATATTTCTCTACTCCTTTCTGCTTCACTCTACTTGTATACAGCTGCCTATTTCATGTTTTCCCTTGGATATTCAATAGAATCTTAACATTTTCAAAACTGAATTCCAGATCTTCATCCCAACCCCCAGAAAGAAACCTGTTCTTCCTGCAACTCCATCTTTTCACAAGCAAGCTGCTGCTGTTGATAACAATACTACTTAGTGCTTGTGTAGTGGAAGGGACTCTGAGCTTTTTTTAAGTACAATCTCATAACAGTCTTATTAGACAGGTACTGCTATTATCCCGATTTTACAGATGGAGAAACTAAGGCAGAGATATTAAGTTACTTGCCTATTTTACATAAGCGGCAGTACCTCCCAGGATACAAACTCATGTTAAAAAAACTGCTGTCATCCCAGACTTTTCTCACTCATATTCTATATCCACTCATTAACAAATCCTCTTGGCTTTATCTTATCCAGATAAAATAAAAATATATCCAGAAACTGATTTATTTTATGGCCTTTATGCTGCCATAGCTACTTTCACCACTCATCTCAATTATTGCAAACTTGCTGTTTGTTCTTTGTATGGTATATTCTCAATTCAGCAGTCATTTAAAACTCATCAGGCAGTCTCGCTCTTCATCTCCCTCAGATAAAAGCCAGCCTATAAAGCTACCTTTCCGCCGATTTCTGACTGCCCACCCTATCTTCCTTAGCCTACCTTGTTGCTTGTCAGATCACACCTTTTTGTACTTACTGTCTGTTTAGTCAGGAATTCTCTTTCAAATACCCACATGGTTTGCTTCCTCACTTCCTGAGGTCTCTGCTTAAATATACTTAGCCCTTCCCAGACTACCCTCTACTACTCCCTCCCCTTATTGTACCTCCTTGCCTACTGTACATCTCTGTTGTCTTCTTACCCTGCTGTATATTTTTCTCTCTGGGATGGGTGGGTTACTGTCCATGCTCTTTTCAATATCGGATAATGCGCCAATCACAGAAAATGACTGGAGTGGTGAAAGGTTAAGAAACCCAGGTCTGAGGCTTGGTTGAAAGGATTAGGATTCTGACTAGAAAAGGGAATTTCACAGCTCAGGATAGCTGTCCTGAAAAATAAGAGGTTGTCTAGAGGAAGAGATCCTACAGTACAGAACTATGTCCAGTATGGAAAAGTTACATCGAGAAAGTGTAAGGAAGATCTTTTTAGTACTTTGATGTATGGTTCTGAAGTTGGAATGGAACATCTTTTAAGTTTTCTGTCCTGAAGGGGTTTAAATAAAAATCAAGGATGACCATTTGTGGAGGAGATTCCTGCATGTGCCCTGGGGCTCTCTTAAGGGATTGCTAGATCTCGTGCAAGTTTCTCTGTAAACTCTCAATGGGTATCTGAGTATTGTCCCTCTCTTCTTTACTGTGTGTGTTAAGTATGTATAATAAATCAGGATGTGATTGAGGATAAGAGGTGTAGTTCTATCACCAATTTGAGGTGGGGGAGTTCTTAAAATCATAAGATTTTACTATCCTGTTAAAAATTGTAAATGAAACTAAATTGTTAGGGACAATTATATCAAGCAGTAAGGGTCGCATCATCAAAGCATTTAAAAATGTACACCTCAGTGGTTTCATATTCACAAGGTCATAAGAGATCACTACTGTCTGATTTGTAACATTTTAATGATCTCCCAAAAGACTCCTCTGTTTCCAGTAGCAGTCACTTCTCATTGCTCCCTTACCCAGTGCCTGGCACCTACTAATATTTCTGTCTCTGTGGATTAACCTGTTCTGGGTATTTCATATGAATAGACTCACATAAAATGTGGCCTTTAGTTAGTATTTGACTTTTTTTTTTACCTAGCGTGATGTTATAAAAGTTCATGTATACTATAGCATGAACCAGTACTTCATTCCTTTTTATGGCTGAATAATATTCTGTTACGTGGTATAGCACATTTTGTTTATCCATTCATCAGTTGATGGACACTTGCTTTGTTTCCACTTTTTGGCTGTTATGAATAATATTCCTGTCAACATATGTGTACAGATTTTTGTGTATGTTTTCAATCTTATTGTTTATAGGAGATCATGATTGTAAGGAAGGGCTAGTATAAATGTATCATCACATACCGTGTTTGATCATCAGCGTATTATCTGACAGTTTCTTAGATAAAGAGGCATAGTCACTTACACATCTGAATTTCATACTTTTTGTCAGAAGAAGCAAAGTTTTTCATAGCTCTGAGTTAAAAAAAAAGAAAAGACTCAGCTGGGACTTTAAATAGTAATAGTTGAACAGTGTATAGATGTGTCCATATTAAACATTAGTGGAGTCTAATTTTTAAGTGCTACATACTAGTATAGGCTGTACTCGTATTTGTCATACATTTGTGCACATCTCTTGCTATTTTATGGAAATTCTCACTCTAGGTATTAATGATTATCTTTTTAAAAATGTCTTTCTGTATACTGTGTTTTTTAGATTACATATGTAGATGCTTGGGACAAGATATTTATCTATCATAATTTCTGGTAAGTTAAGTGACTGTATTAGAGAATTACATAAAATAACTATGTCTATATTCTAAGTCAGTTAATATTTAAGAGAAATTTTAGTGACTATAAGATAAAAATTATATTGATAAAATTTTATTATTACATATGACAAAATAATAGAGAAATTTTCTGTAAACCTGCTTGTAAAAAAATAATATCCAAAAATGTATGTCATCATTTTCTAAAGATTTGGATGCTTTTATTGAATTAGATATTGATGTTATCTTTTGTGGAGAAGAGTTATTTCAACATAATGTGATATAAAATACTAGCATTAAGTATGATCTGCTTAAGATAAAGTCAGTTTATTAAAATCAATCTGAAATTTCACACTTCATCAGGCTTATTTTCTTCTCCCAATTATAACTTGTGAGTTATATTCAAAGCTAAACCCAATACACTTCATAAGTGGACAAATGAAACCTTACAATTTTTATATCTAAATCTGCAACAAAGTTAATCATTAATGATTTACTCATTTTTGGTATTGGTGACTCTAGATAATATTTATGTAGACTAAAAGTTTAAATCCTTAGCTGTTGAAAGAATAACAATGGATTATTTTTCTGTTCTAGTGGCAAAATTAAAGACTTGTCGTGACAATGAAGAAAGAGGCTGAATTTGTCATATTCACCTAAAGAAAAATGATAGACAAAAATCAAACCTGTGCTACAGGACAGGATTCAATGCCCTATATGAGTTGTCTGATTCATATATTTGAAGAATGGTTTGGAGTGGAGCAATTGGAGGACTATTTGAATTTTGCAAACTATCTATTATGGGTTTTTACACCACTAATACTTTTAATACTTCCTTACTTCACTATTTTTCTTCTCTACCTTACTATTATTTTCTTACACATTTATAAGAGGAAGAATGTATTAAAAAAAGCCTATTCTCATAATTTATGGGATGGTGCAAGGAAGACGGTAGCAACTCTGTGGGACGGACATGCAGCAGTTTGGCATGGTAAGCAAGATTACTTTGATCTCTCTGTGTTGCTGATTGTGTTTGTGGCACAGAAACTGTATCGTCCCATTTTATATTGATTGAGAAGATAATGAAAAATAATGGAAGAGGTATTAACTATCTCTTGTTAATGTATTTGTATGCTTGTGAATATATATGTCTTTTTTAAAACGATTGTTTCCAAACATATTAGTGTCCACTAAAGAAAGAACCACACAACTGTTAGACTATTACTATAAGCTAAATATATAACAATTTATATTTAAGACATCTAAAAGGGTAAGAGACTATTTAAAACAATATGGAAAACTTTTGAAAATACTTTCATTATTGATTATTTACTTGCATTTTGTTTAAGATAAGTTTGACTTTCCTAGTATAAGGATTTAAAAAAAATGAATATTATATGTAATTTGTAAACAAAAATTTACTTTTTTTGGTATTATTCATTTCAGAGGTCATTGTAGCTTTCTCGATAAATGAGAGAGCCATAAGTTTCTCTTCAGGATATTCATCTTTTTCATTTCAGAAAATGTGATTTTTGTGCATTTAATGATTGGTGGTTCTTCATTTGACCGACATGAAAATTGCCTTCGAGTAGCCTATTTTCAAGAACTTGTTGTTTACCAATATTTTTACTTTACTTGTTGGTTTCTTTTGTTTTGGACTATAAAAAAATGCAGGAGATTGAGTAGGCTTGTAATAAAGATGTGCCTTCTGTATCGTTTTGTTGAGCATGAAGTAGTTTCACAGAAAGAAATGAAAGGTAGCACAAGTTTTGAAATAGACACTTGAGTAATATAAATGTCAAATCACTATGTTGTACACTTGAAACTAATATAATATTGTATGTGAACTGTACTTCAAAAAAATAGACCCGTAAGGATATATATAAGGCCACTCTTACCAAGGATCACCAGTGACATGCTTATTAAGTTAATGTGTTGTCATTAAAAAAATTTTTTTTATTTAATTGTTTTTCAAGTACAGTATTCTGTCTTTTGTGTTGTCATTTTAATACTACATAAATTCTTGTCTTTTTTGAGCACTTAACTATGCCATACACTGTAAAATGCTTACCAAGCACTTTTAAACCTCATAACAAAATAGATAGGTTCTGTTACCTCCATTTTACAGTTTTCCCATGAGGAAACAGGACCAGAGATGTTATTTGCCCAAGACATACTAGGAAGCTAGGAAGAAGAATGCAACCTCAGATATCAGGCTGTAAGATGTATGCTTTTGTGATCTGTGCTATGTGGTAAGTTTGTTCCAGGTTGGGGGTTCAGGGTCAAAAGTGGTATTCAGCAGTTTTGCAAACAGGAACTGTGTATCTTTGATGGATTAAATTCTTAATATTTACTCATTTATACTAATGCTCTTGCCAGTCAGTACAACTCTTCTGCTTTTTGATGGTTGTTTAACATGATGAGCCGAGGTGGTAATACTTCAGTGTTCCACGTGTGTGTGTCTGCAGAGACTGCATCTGTGTGGACTGCTGTTTGTTGTCTTGAAAACAGTTATGCAAAAATTCAATGGCGTCATTTACAATACTCATTGGGAATACTTATCTTCCATATATATATCCCCCCATGTTTCAAAGTAACATACATTGTAAGGAATTATAATTTATTTGTATTTCAGGTGACATGATTTAATTTGGATAAATTCAAATGCTGAACTTATTTTGTAGCGGAATATATAATTCTGCTACAAATTTTGAGGTGTATCTTATTTATTGAGGTATTTTTAAATATGCCCTTATGACTCAAAGGAAGATATATATGTGTATATGTATATATTTCTTAGTCTGTTTTAATGTTTATTATGATAACATTTTATTAGATAACTGATACTTTAAAAATAATTTTCGTTACCTTCTTTATTTCTGTGTCTGTTTGGATTTTGTATTGGTGTCAGATTAGTTTTAATCATGCCTTTAAAGAATCTTCAAAGGAATTTTTAAACTAATACAAATATTCATTGTAAAAAATGTACCAAATAAGAAAAATAAAGAAGAGAATAATAATTGCCTAAAATTTACCATGTATTTTAGTCTTTTGAAATTGTAGTGTGTTAATCATTTTTTATGTGTGTGTAGACTAGTATTTTTAATGTCATGAAGCCTTTTTAGTGACTTCTAATGACCATATGGAGCTCTGTAATTCTATAATTTAGTCAGTTATTTATTGAATTATTTATTTATAAATTGTTTATGTTTATATAAGAATCTATCCAATGTTTTTTCATGAAGTTAAATTTTGTCCTCAACTATATATAATGGAAGTATACTCTTATTTTTCAAAAAATTCTCTAATTCTTATGTGCTGTTCCAAATAATGCCTAAACTATCAAGAAACATCAATTTAATGTTTCTCTAAGTACCTACATTTATAGGTAGTTTGCTTGGTGATGATGGGTCAGTGACTTTCTTATACTCAAGTTGCTTACATAGTCTTTAAACTCTAAAATCATGACTTATTTTTTTAACTCCTTAAACTATGAATATTTTAAAAAGCTAGACTCTTAATAGTTAATGATTTCCCCTGACAATTAATTTGATGAGGAAGAGTCCTAGAGATGTTTTTTGAGAAAATTAAAAACTATATTTTAGGACAACTGTAAAGGTGATGAGGAACATAACTTTCAGTTTAGGGAAGTAAGGAATATTTTATTTGGGGGCTTTTAGTTGTTTGTTTTATCTTGTGTGTGCATGTATTGAGGTGGTTTTTGTTTTACAAAAGCATTTACTTCATTGTCTGAAAATTATGTTTATGCTTAACTAACACCAACACATGGTTTGATTCATTTTCAATACAAAATTTTGGGAAAATGCAATGGTTTGTTTAAGTAGTACTTCTCTATTTCTGTTGGCTAAGAGTTTCCTTTCATCTGCTCTGCCTTTCATGCACAAAAGAACTACTCAGTCAGACCGCCTGAGTGCAAAACCAGGCTCTCCTCAGTTTCTGCCTGGGTTACCTTGGCAAGTTACCTAACATTTTTTTCTCCCTTTACCCTTTACTCCTTTCTTCCCTCCTTACCCTCCTCTTTCTGCCCCCTCCTCCCTTCTTTTTAAACTATTACGGTTTTTTAAAACTTGATTTTGAAAAACAAATTAGAATCACAGAAAGTTTGCAAAAACAGTACTGAAAAGTTCTGTATATTTTTCACCCAGCTTTCCCTAATGGTAGCATCTTATATAATGACTTGTACAATTATCAAATTAACAATGATACAATACTATTAGCTAAACTACAGATCTTACTCAAATCTTACCAGTTTTCCCATTATTATTCTTTTATCGGGATCTAGATACTGCCTTTAGTTGTCCTATCTTCTCCAATCTGTGATGGTTATTCAGTTTTTTTCTTTTTTGTGTTCCATGATTATCACAGTTTTAAAGAGTATTGCTCAGTTATTTTGTAGACTGTCTCTCAGTTTAGATCTAATGCTTTTCATAATTACATTGAAGTTATACATTTTTGACAAGAATACCACAAAGTTTATGATGTGTTCTCAGTGCATTATATCAGAAGTTCGTGATGTGGATATGTTTTATTACTGGTGACATTTACGTAGGTGTCTGCCAGGTTTTTCCATGATAAAGTTGCTGTTTTTTACTTCATAACCAATAAATATCTGGGAGCTACTTTAAAACTGTATAAGTAACCCATCTCAAATGAGGTACTTAACTTTTCTGAATCTTATTTTCCTCTTCTGTAAAATGAGTTGGTCTGAGGACTTAGTGAAATATCATGTAAAGTATTTAGCATAATTTATGTTACATACTAATTGTTCAATATAATCATGTGCTGCTTAATGATGGGGATACATTCCAAGAAATACAGCATTAGGCAATTTTGTCTTGGTGCAAACATCAGAGTGTACTTACACAAACCTAGGTTGTATGGCCTACTACAACCCTGGAATACTACATGGTATATAGCCTGCTTCTGGGCTACAAACTTGTACAGCATGTTACTGTACCAAACAGCACGAGGTTAACTTAAGCACAAGAGAAAATGATGCAATCAAGAGACGCAATGAAGATGAGGTATATGAGGTTGCTGCCAGTGTGGCATGGCATATTGTTTTATGGCAAAGGTTTTTTTTTGGGTAAGTAGGGTGCACTCTAAAATAATGATAAAGTTATAGTAAATACATAAGCTAGTAACAGTTGTTTATTACCAGTATTAAGTATTATATACTGTATATAATTTTATATGCTATACTTTTATAACCAGTAGCACAGTAGGTTTGTTTACAGCAGCATCACCCACCACAAATGTGAATAATGCGTTCTGCTATGACATGATAGCTACAACATCACTAGGCAATAGGAATTTTTCAGCTTCATTATGTATGGGACCACCATGGTATATATGGTGATACCTATATCAGTGATCTCTGGATAGGGAAATAGCTAAATTAACTGATAGGGATTTATTATAGAATGCTTTATAACCATTAAGAGTATGATCACTACATGTGCCTGAAAAGGGAAGATCTTCAAGGACATTTGGTTTTGAACAGAAAAAGTAAGACTCATGACTGTAGTCATAGTAGAATATCATTTATGTTAAAACACACACATATCTGCATATACACACAAGTACTAAATGAAATGTAGGGTGTATTCAGGACTAGGAGATGAATCATTCATGGGTGAGAAGTATGTTGAATGATGAACCTAGAAAAGTAGACTAAAGTTAGCTTTGAAGGATCTCGAATGCTATACTGTGTTTTGTAGGTAGTTTGCTTTCCTGAGGAGGACCCAAAAGGATGCATTGTTAATTTACCATAGTGTATAGGATTTTTTATGACAAATTTAGAAGGGATCTAATGAATATTAATCCATTATCTGAATTAATGCTGTTGATATCTACACCCAGTAGGCAGTTAACTCATTTACCATAATAAATACTGCTATGGAAATGAGACTACTTAAGCGCCAATGTAACCATCAAATCCTCTCTCTCTAGGCTAAGCTACATGGAAAG